GTATTAGCAACAAATTAAGACCACATACAATTATTTTTCCAAAAATTAACACCAATTATGTGCTGTGTGTGTGTTCTGCGTAAAAGTGGTTGGTGGGGGGGGGGGGAGCAGAGAGGATAGGGGAAGGGAAAGGGGAGGGGGTTTCGGGAGAGAATGGGTATGTGATGTATGGTGGGTGTTGTGCTAAGAGAAATGGATTGTGTGTGTGGGCGAAATATAGAAGGTTTGGGGAGAGGTGTGTTTCAGTGGAGGTTTCGGGAGAGGGGTGTTTCGGTGGGTGGGTGTGAGATACAGAAGGTATATGTGTTTGGAGGGAGGTGAGAAACAAAGTTAGTAATGAGAGAAACTAACTTTGAAGAGATTCTTGGATATTATTCCTCTGTAATTACGCAAGAAAAATATATATTTTTCTCAAATACCCACTACGAAAGTTGTGGTTGTGGTTGTGGTTGTGGTGGTAGTGGTGGTCTTGTCCATAAACAAAGAAACCCATTTCTTTTCTCATAGAGGTGGTGGTGTTGCTGGGGCGGTGGTGGTGTCGCTGACTTCGGCGATGGATGGTGGTAAGAAGAAACAGAAGGAGAGAGATACAGAGACAAAGAGAGAGTGAGATAGCCTGTGAAAGATGCGTCTGACAGAAGAGTTGGGAGAAAAAAAAATGATGTTCAAGGCGTGACTGAGGCCATTTTTTCTGTTGTACCAAGGAAAAGAAGTGGCGGCTGACAGATGAAGTGATTGAGAGATCAGATTTTTGAATAAATTTGTAGGTGAAAAATGATAAATTTGGAGGGAAATGTGAAGATCTGAAACCGTTGGATGAAATGAATTGTGACCGTTCGATCGAATTGTTGAAACCCGCTGTGTTTTATATTATAGATGTCTTAGTAATTAAATTCGGAGAAGGATTGATTCTGTAACTTAAGTAAGTCATTATAGAAGGAATAAAGATGACTAGAGATTAAATAAAAATTGTGAGACTAAATTTCTATGAGCGAATCTTGAGTCTAAATTTTTAGTGCATTAAAAAAAATGAATGGAGACAAGTTATTAAAAAAATTAATTTATATTATAATTTTAAATTAACTCTACAAATTTTTAAAATTTTAGTGGAGGCCATTGCCCCCCACTGCCCTCACCCTGCCTCCGCCACTGCAGGGTTGCACCGGTCCGTCCCGCTTGGGCGACGACGCAGACTTTGAGACTGGCTTTTCTTCTCTTCACATGAATAACGAGTTGATGAGTTTACTGCTTGACAAGACACCACTTGTTCCCTCCCAACTTTTCCATCAATCAAACAAAGTTCACACAATACTTCTGCCTTCTAGAGGAAAAGAATACAGTACGGAAAGAGATATCTTACCAAAATTTATAACAAATTTAAGTTAAATTATAACCTTTTTGAAATGTCAGTTATAATTTTTAAACGTCAAATTACAATTTATAAAGAACAAGTTATAACTGCTCAGAGAAATTCATGATTAATCATGTGTATCTGTGATCGATCATGGACTCTTGATCGATCATAAACTTCCTCTGAACAATTGTAACTTCTCTCTTATGAGTTATAACTTTATTTTCATTTAATTTTTATTTTCTTTATATATTTGTCTCTTAAGGTTTTTTAGAATCTTTCATTAATAGTATCTAATTTTTAACTTCTTTTGAATTCATTTATTAGTAGTACACTTGTACACGATTTTCTATGTCTATGTCTATGTTTATATTTAGAAATAAAATTCAATCTATATTCTTTTATTCTACTCTCCGGTATACGTTATAATTGATTTTTTGGTATGCACCAATATCATATTATTACAATACAAACAATAATATTGTAATTTAATTAATTTTTATGACAAAAATGCAATAAATTTATAATTTAAATAGATGTGCAAATACTCAATAATTACCGTTTTTAGATTTGGCAATAATTAAAATTACATAATTTATTATTCAATTTAATTATACATATAATTTAACTTTTTTTTATAAAATTTTTTATTTAAATAGATTCATGTGCATTTCTAGTAATAATAAATAAGTGTTACATATTGAGAAAGCAAAAAATATTACAAAAACATATAATCTTAGGGTTTGGCGACAAGGTATAAATTTGGTGACAATAATATATTTAAATAAATAATGAAGAATATTTAAAACTATTGAAAAAAACTAACACAATCAATTGAATTAGTTAAGAAGTTTGTACATATATTATTTCAACCCTCTCTAATAATGATCTTCCCTAACTTTTATACCTAATAAAGTGTAACTTGAGTTCAAAAATAAAATACAGGCAATATTCAAGTTGAAGAGTTTAAATAAAACACTACTTTTTTTTAAAGTACTTATGCGAAGCGAGAAGTTCTAGAAGCACTTTTGAAAAGTTATTCCAAACATACTCTCAAGGGTCTATTTTTTCTATTAAATTTGGAGTGTTAATATTAGCCGTCGCATTAACTTTAAAATAAAATTTAAAGAGATCTCAACCGCGAAAAGAAAACAGTCACTTTATTTATCTTTTGAGAATTGAGTAGTATTGTACTTTATTATATAGATAAACACACGCACACATGCACACACCTGTTGGCCACGTGATATCATGTAAAAAAATGACATGTGAACACTTTGGTAAAAAAAACTTGACATTCTATTTATGTAGGGATCAAAGTGATAGAAATTGATTACTTTAACGATCAAATTAACAAAATTGATACAATAAGAACTAAATTGACAAAAAATATATAATATTAATTCTTAATTCAATATGACACCGAAAAATAACACGGTGTGATGCGATAAGTCGTGAAATCCACATGTTTCTTAATCTCTATTTTTTATGCTCCGTTTGGTATGATAGAAAAATGGAAGTATGAAAAGTTGGAAAGATAAATAAAATATTATGTTTGGAAAGTAACGAAAATAGGAAGGATAAAAAAGTGGATGTATTAACTTTTTTTTCAGCTCACCAAAATTAATCCCTCTAAAATCGGAAGGAAAGTGGATGACAAGTTAATTATTTGTGATGAGATATATCTTATTTGTCTATATATCTTTTAATATATACATATATTATGTATACATTAATTTGATATAAAAATATAATGATAAAATATGTATTTATATATATACAAAATTTTAAAAATAAAAAAATACAAATACAAATAAAAAATTTAAATTAAAAAAAAATTCCGTTCTAACTAGGGGTGAAAATTTTCGACTCAACACGATGACACGATTCGAAGTCGACACGACTTTTATGACACGAACTTGATTATACTTCGACAAGAATTTGAAAATGACCTAATATGCGAACAAGAAATATAAAAGACGCATATTCAGTTCAATCAGTCAAACTCAAAATTGACACCATTAGTCCGTTTATTTAAAAATAAACACTTTCTCTATTTTTTTGTTTGTATGGTAAAATACGAAACTAACATGTTTAACTACTATTATAGACATAACATATTAATTATTTGTAACTATTTATTAAGTACTGACATAATTATTATATAAAAAAAATATTTTTAATTATTATTATTATTGATAATTTTTAGTTTGTAGAAAAAATATTAACATGGATTCAATTAATTGAAAATAAAATATTAACGTTAAATTTTTTATTCAAAGTTTATGTGAGTCAACATGAATATGAACACGAACACGACACGAAAATAAAAAGTCAACTCACAACTTGACACGACACAATTAGTTAAATGAATTGAGTTAGATTTGACTAATGTTCGACATAAACCCGTAATGACTAAACACGAATTTGACACGACACGACTCGATTACTAGGAAGCACGGATACAAATATGTAACACGGGTATAATACGATACGGATACGATGATACGACAAAACTTAAAAAAATAAGATACGGGTACGACCAAGATACGTTTATAATAATATATATTTTATATTTTACTATTATTTAACGACTTATAAATTGTAATATTTCAATAATTCTTTAATATTAGTAAGTAAAATTAAGAATTTTTACCCTGAAAAGGATGTAATATCGTTTCATTATGATATGTTCATAAAATAAGCATAATCAATTGAAGGAATCATAACAACATTTAACTAGTTGGTTTTACAAGTATTTATTTTTAAAAGAATAGTATAAGTGATTCATTTTTTTATACTCTCTTAACATGTAATAATAGAAAATACTTAAAAGACACTTGTGCCTTCAAAATTAAATGAAATTTTGTTGATGTTTTATATTATATGTGAACTCCAAAGTAGGGGCATAACTTAAAATTAAAAATTGTACATTTTGCTTCATATTTAAAAGTATCTGCGAAATATTCACATATTTTATTAATTATCGGATACATATGATGCATATTCGATATATATCATTGAGTATCCGACGAATATCGTATCCGATACGGGTACGTCGATCTTGACGAAATATCCGTGCTTTATAACTCGATTGTCACTCCTAATTTTAGTCAGTACAAAAAAAAAAGAATTAGTCATTTTTATTTTTCATCTATTTAACTAAACACAAAGAAAGAAAAATGTATCATTCATATTTTCTATTATTAAAGGATAAAATGTGTATCTCTACTACTTTTCATCTTTTTTATTTTTTAACTTTCCTACTAAACGGAGAATTAGAAATTTCTTGTTTGAATGAATTTTTCACAGCAACTTGGTTCGACAAGTACAAAAAATGTAGGGACTAATAAGTACTAAAGCCGTGGTCTACTCCAAAAACCTCGTGATGTTACTTATGACTTTTAATTTCACGCGTAGCCGTAGAAAATGTAATAGGCCCTGGCCACCTCCCGTGTCTATCAAATGTCGCTTCTCGGTTTAGATGAAAATTTCATAACAACTTCTTAATGAAAAATCCTCTTTCCACGTTGTAGATGTACAATTATTTTTATATTTAAGCTATTAGACAATCTCATCTCCTCTGCCAAGGTCATTGTGATTTCAATACCATTTTGTGATTTTCTCTTCAGATTATTCCCAAGGAAAAATGGAAAGCAACCCAGTGACTACTGCTAAATCCACCAGCGTTGATTCCTCATCGCCTTCGCCGGTTGACATTTTCGATGGAAATTCCTCTCCGCAGGTTGGTTTTTCTAATCTCTCTCTCTCTCTCAATCAAACGACTCTCCTTCCATTTTCTCCACTTATACTTTGTTTTCCTTATTTGCTAGAAAATAGAAAACACACCCGTGACTACTGCTGAAGCCCCCAATGGCGATTCCTTATCCTCGGTTGCAGGGGCGGAGCAGGTCATTCATGCTCTGGTGAGCACTAATTATAAATTTTAGTACCTACAAATACTTCATGTCATCTCGCCATTGTATTTCAGTACCATTTGGTGATTTTCTTATCATTTTCCTACTAAAGAAAAAAATAGAAAACAAGCCAGTCATAGTTGTTGAAGTTAGTGATGATTCCTCCTCATTTAAGGTTGCCAATAAAGATTGTCCTGAGGTTAGTTTTTGGAATCTATTACCAATTTATTAAATTTATTTATCGATCTATTGTCGTTTTCAACTTATTTACCAAATTACCGCTGTTTTAAAAGCGGATTTAACAAATCCAACTTCATGGGGAAAGCGGATTTGACAAATCCGACTTCATTTGAAAAACGAATTTGATAAATCCGACTTTAATTAAAAAGCGAATTTGGTAAATCCGACTTCATTGGAAAAGCGGACATACCAAATTAGTCTTTATATGGAAAGCGGACATACCAAATCCGCCTTTATATGAAAAGCAGACTTACCAAGGTGCAAACCTTTATATATATAATTGTGTTGATCGCCAAAAGAGTATTTGACTATTTATTGAATACGTTTGGTCTCTCTAATTCTATACTCTTTGTGAATAAATTACTCACCTTTATTAGTCGTTAAAAATCCACTAATAGATTCTATCTAAATTTATTAGTTATAACCCGTACCTGAAGGCACGATAAAATATAAAATTCGAGTATCCAAAAAATCGATCTCACTATATTAAATTTTTTTAAAATATATTAATTACAAATTAATCAAATATTAAATAATTAAATATATAATAAAAATGAGTGATTTATTTTTTAGGGAGAAAATATATAAAGTCAAGAATTTCGGGTGGTATCCCAATAGGAAAATTAGATGAAATATTAAAAGTTATTAGTTTTGACAAAAAACGGATTTGGTATGTTTGCTTTCTAAATGAAGTCAGATTTGGTATGTTCACTTTTCTTATAAAATCGAATTTGTCAAATCCGTTTTCTCTATAAAGATGGATTTGTCAAATTCGCTTTCTCCATGAAGTCGGATTTGCCAAATCTGCTTTTAAAACAGCGATAGTTTGTTAAATAAGTTGAAAACAACAATAAATTGATAAATAAGTTTGATAAATGGGGTAAATTGATAATAGGTTATTAGTTTTTGTACTCTTTTTCTCTTGCCCTGTCTGTTTCCAGCCAATTTTATTTACCAAACGAATAAACGTAATTGGTTATTTAGGTTCTACTACAGAAAGTAAATGAAAGTCACTGATTTAATAATTTGCGATGATTTGATAAACAAGTTTTGGCAAATAATTTGGTAAGAATAACACTATTGTTACATCATCTCCATTTATTGTTAGTTCTCCTTATTTCTATTCTTCGAGCATAAAAAGAATAGATTTTAAATTATCTTCATATGGTTTGACCCAATAACATATTACCTTACTAGTTAATAAATAGAGTAAGTAAGAAACAATTGTAGAAGGAAGCAAATACTGAAAGTTCCAGCTGCATCAGAAGGCTACTACTCTAAACCAATTTCTTTGCATTTTCTTTCCAAGAAAATGGTCTTTTCCTTAATTCCCACCCGACCTATTAAGTACCTATAAATACTTCATGTTACCTCCGCCATTGTATTTATTTGCTAGAAAATAGAAAACACACCCGCGACTACTGCTGAAGCCCCCAATGGCGATTCCTTATCCCCGATTGCAGGGGGGGGGGGGGGGGGGGGGGGC